ACCTTTGGAGATCATGACTTTTGGTATGATTACTCTCCAATAATTATGAATCTTAATTTCAAGAGATGTGTCTCTTGGTATGATTGTGTCTTCTGACAAACATTTCCAACTACTATATATAGATCCTCATGTGTTTGGATTGAGTACAATTCAAAGTGATAGTTCTATATCATTCCATTCCATACTTACACTTTAGTTTGCATAAAAATCATGGTTATGGTAGAGAGAGAATTCCATTCGAGTTCGTTGGTCTAAATCATTTGGAGTGCTCATATGGCTTGACGTGATCGTTGTTTCTTAGGAGGTGATTGCTAGAAACCGTTAGCACCGATGCAGGGCAAATTCATTTTAAGGACAAAATGCGAAATACTTGCCTCGACCGATCGTATCACTTGCGTTTCATCTTTCTTTTTCCGATTTCATTCTAATTTAGTATGTTGATTTCGAAAAGTAACTATATTTTTTTTTATTTCAGAATATGGTTAATTTATTTATGTATTTTATTGTAAGGTTTGAATTAAAGAATGACACGCGTTCAAGATTGGAAAGTGATAAATCTATATTCATATATTCGAAGTCGGTAATTCACTAATTTGTCTTCTCAAATCAGATTTCGGTAAGTCGAATGATATTTTGATTTGACGCATATTAATGACATGTTCTTGATGAATATAATATACACATTATCGGTGTAAAATCTCATACAAAGCATATTTCAAATCTTACTATAACTACCATGTGAAAATGAGTTAATGTCATACCCTGTTTGGTTTGGTTTAAAAAATTAGATTTTGATTAAAATTGATTAAATGTATGGTTTAAAAGAAGACAAAAATTGTGGATCCCATAAAATGTGTATTGAAAAATGAATTTTAGAAAATAGGGGCCAACCAAGAAATAAGTGTAAAAGAAAGGCTAATAAAAACTTCTACTATAAACAATGATGACAATTATCTGTAATGATTAGTTAGTTTTGTTGCAGGACTGATACTCTAGTATACTGAACAAAAGTTTAGATTTTTTTTTTTTAATATAGTATTGTTCAATCTAAAATAATATTTCCCACATCAAAATCTGAATGAAATCATGGTTAAAGATTCCTCCTCACATTTTCTGTCTACTTGTATATTACCTATACACTTAGGCTCCGTTTGATAGCTTTAGTTTTCCATGGAAAAGGAAAACATTTTCCTTTTCCACCCTTAAAAAACTGTTTGATAGGTAAATTTTTCCATGGAAAACGTTTTCCACCTTTTTCTAGGTACAATCATTTGATGCACAAAACCTTGATTTTGTTTTCCCACCTATTAGTTGGGAAAACATTTTCCACCTTTTTTTTTTAGCAAAGACAACCAATTCTATCACTTATAGTAAAAAGAATTTCAATTTTTGTTGACAATTTCTATATAAAATAAAGTCAAACGAATATGGTAATTTTTTCTAATTGTTTAAATTTTTTTTTTTTTTTACTTTTTGGTAATTAGAACAAATTTTAGACGTATTGGTAGAAAAATTATCACTTTAATGGACAATTTTTATAAAAAAAGAAAGCCAAACGGACACCAAACTTTCAACATTTTTCATGTAGAAAATTATACCAATCAAATACAATTAATTACAATTCCTAGGAAAATATTTTTTAGGAAAATCTTTTCCCTTTAAACATTTTCTTTCCACTCATTTTCCACCATTGCAATCAAACGGACCCTAACATCGTTAGTGAATAAAGATTCCCTGTGGAACAGGGTTTAACCGACGATCAAATCAACTGTCAAAAAAATAGTAGAAAATAAAAGAATTAGGTGTGGAAGAGACAAATAGACAAATCTTTGGTTTGGGTTTAATATATTGTACATTTTCTTTAATGTATTGATAGATGATATGGGTGAAATTAGGTCATACATCGAGTAGAATATGTTTTAAAAGTAGTCATGTATCAAAAATTACACATAGTAAATCAAATAAATTTGTAACTAAGTGCTATAATGTTCGCACATTTTTTTTTGAGTTGTTATACACAGATGATTTTATAATAATCGTTTGAACTTTACATAACATAATTTACAAATGCAGTTTGCCTTGTTCTCAACGTGTTTAATACTACTATAAGGGTCCATTTGATATGTAAAGATGGAAAAGAATTCCAATTCCATGTTAGTTGGAAAATAAAAACCTATCAAACCCGTAGATATTCGTTTTCCATAAAAGCAAAGAAAATGTAGTTTAAAGTGATTGTACCTTGGAATTCGGTTTCCATTTCCACTTTGCAATCAAACGGCCAAAGTGTAATTCGTTTCCCTTGGATATGACATTTTTCCATGAAATTCGTTGCAATCAAACAATGCCTAAGAGATAGCAAAATTTTTCGTCCCGCACCACACTATGAGTGGGACGGGAATTCGATGCATGTTCAAAGCTAAAACACCACTCTAGATCTAAGGTGTCTTGCATGCTCTTATATAATAACTTTTCCATATGAACTTCAAATACAAATCAAGGAAAATTAGAATTAAAAATTCGGTGTCTTTACCCCTAGCTACATGTATCTTATTCCATGTTTGGTAGATAACTTTCAAGAATAAATTTTGTGAAAAATGATTTTTATTTTTTTTTTATATATAGAATGTACGATCAAGAAATAAAAAAAATTATGAATCCACCTACAAAATATTTTATTGAAAGAATGTGTGGTTTGAAAATGAATTTAGGGAAATGAGTTTTAGAAATGGAGGCTAAACATGAACTTAATCTAGTCATGTCGGGAAACTTCGTGGAAAAAGAAATATTAATATTAATATATTAATATATAGTCCCTGTTTGATGTGAATTAAAATTAATAAATTTTGATAAAAATTGATGAATTATATAGTTGAAAAATTATGTCCCATGAAATATGTGTTTAAAATTAATGGTTGATTTAATAAAATAATCAAGTGATATAACATGATATCATAACGTGTGAGAGTTATGAGTTTAACTCTAATAAAAAATATAAATAAATTTTGCATGTTAAACTTTTAACGAAAAAAAAAAGAATCACGCCTATACATAAAGGTAGGGGTGGCAACCGAGCCGAGTGACTCGTCAAAAACGAGCCACGAGCCGCTCGAGCCCGAGCACGAGTCGAGTAGGCCAGCTCGTTAGGCGAGCCGAGCGACTATGGGCGAGCTAGCCGGTTCGTCCAAAATCAAAGGCTTATCTCTCTCTCTCTTTTTTTAAAAAGGTTTATCTTATATATTAAAAAAAAAATTAACGAGCTCGCGAGCCGAAGCTTGGCTCGGCCCATGAGCCACGAGCTAGCCGAGCTCGACCCGCGAGTAACGAGCCGAGCAGAAGCTCGCTCATGACGAGCACGAGTCGAACACGTGTGTGTAGATTGCCACCTCTACATAAAGGAGACCATGTTAATTAAACTATTATTTGATCTTATCTAGCTTGTGTTTGAATCTATTTTTGAAGAGAATAGAAATTTTGGAAAAGTGAATGATGTGCGAAAGTGTTGTGAAAAAGTGATGAAATATTTTTAATTTATGTGTAATATTATTTTAATTGGAGAATGTGTGATTGAAATTAA